TGCATGCTGTCAAACATGTCTAGCTTTTGTTTCCCCTCTAACCTTAACCTTGCAACCCTATCCTCTATGCTAAACCTGAAAAATCAATGCTATTTCTAGCTAATTGCCTAGAACTAATCTTGCTATGCAACTATCTTAAACATCCTTTGCTGCAACTCTTGCATATATATTATCTTTGCTATATGCATGCTATATCTAGCCTGCAAATTCCAAATGCTGTCTAACATGCCTTTGTTATCCTTGTCAAACTTGCTATCTTTGCCTATATCTTTTTCAAATGCCTTATTTAAATACTAGTTTAAAATTGCAATTGCAATATGCCTTTACATATTTATACTAACTTGCACTTTTAGATACTACCTGCTATGCTGCTGCATAATTTGCCATATCTAGTCTAGTATCTACTTTTGCTTCTAGATTTATGCTACCTATATAACCTTATCCTCTACCTTTTTCTTGTCTCTAACCTTGCCTTCTTTTGCTTTAACTTCTGCCTTCCTAATAGCCTTATCTTTGCGCTTTACAATCTTGTTTGCCTACAAAAACGCACTTAGCTTGTCTACCTCTTTAACTATCTTTTATACCTGCTGCTAAAACAGCAACACTAACTACAAATACTACACTAACAACTTACCTACCTTGCGTAGCAAGTACTAGTGTATAACTTTAACCTTGCCTATGCTGCAGTAATTTTTGTAATATAATACTACAAAACTTGCCATGCCTTAGTCTATCAATATATTGCATACCTTGCTATACACTATATTGCAATGCTATATCTCTATAATCTTTTACAACTATACTAGCATTTCTTTTAACATATGCATCAATTGCAATAACCTTTCCTAAAACTACTCTACTGCTAACCTATACTTGCGCATTGCCTTAGCCTAGTATAGCATCTTGTCGCTGCCTCTTACTACTATCTACTCTTTCTACTTGTCTGCTTGCTATAGTCATTCTCTATCTACCCTTACTTAATCGCTAGCACTAACCTAAAATTATTGCCTTTTATTATTAACAGCTTGCTTAATTTAGCCTTTACCTTCCTAACTATCTTATGCAACATATCTGCCAAATTGTTTGTCTCAATCTTTATCTGCTAGTATATAATCTAATCTCTAACCTAATCAACTATCTTTGCTACTAGCATTGTAAACCAAACCTGCATCTTATACATGCGCAAATTAAATATCCAATCCATTAGGCTTAGCTTAGACTTGTCTAACACAACTATTATAAACTACTCAACCTTTAGCTAGGTGATTTTAAACAACCTAGTTGCTGCCTCTTGCGTTTCCTTTACACTTATTGTCTTCTCTAATACTGCCACCTTGTCTTGCTGCTTAACTACTAACTAATATATAACTAACATCTGCGCTACCTTAATAACTGCCAAATACTTTAGCATATAATCCTTTAGCCTATACCAACTGTTATTATCATGCAATTCCAACACTACCAACCTGCTAATTAATGCATTTTTATATAGTATATGCTTGTATTAATAGTCAAAAAACGCAACCATTGCATTTAAATACAACTAGTTTGCCTAGTCTTTACACTTCTACTACTCTACCTTATCTAACAGCATTATGCCTTTTACCTGCATATGCTTTTCCACTGCCTTGCAAAACTTGTCAAACAAATTACCTTGCTTTTTAGTAAATATATATAGCAGCTAGTCCTTATCATCCTATTTCTATATCTGCTGCATGTAACATAATAACTTGCAGTATATTTTTTTGTAATCTGCCTACATATCCTCTTCTATCTGCCTGTCAAATAGCTTTTTCTACTTAACATATACCTCCTTTTTGTTAATCTCAAACAATATTGCATGCTTGTATTGCTTTACTACTACCCCTTTTGCCTACTCTATCACCTACTCTATACTTTCTTATATCTACTGCAATACCACCTTGTCTTTGCTAATCAGCTTAACCATACTGCGCAACTAGGCTAAGTCTAAACCTTTCAAATGCATTAGCTAACTAATGCAATCTAACCACCTATTTAGCTTAGCTTTCTTGTCGCCTGCCTTAATCAACTGCCTTTTTGACTTAAACTGCGCTGTCTAGGTTGCATAGATTTGTGTTAGCTGCTTTTCTAATGTCTCTGCACCTACCTCTGCTACCATTACTAGCTTGCTACCCTAGCTAACCTTAAACTACCTACTTGCTACACGCAACTAGAAAAACCACTAGCAACATATGCTTGTCATTTACAGCACTGCCTACTTCTATTTTGCCTTCTTTACCACATTGCTGCCCCTAACCTATCTACTCTTCCATCTATGCTTTTTCTTACAATAATCTCTCATCTACTATTTGCCTTGCATAACAAACCTGCACTTATTGCATTGCAACCTGTTAGACTTAGGCAGCGCAATAAACAAGATTAGGTCAACTGTTAGTAGCAGGAATTAAAATGTCTGCAACTTATCCTAGTTCTACACAATACCTTCCAATCTCTCTACTACTTTCACAACTTTTACTTGCTGCCTTGCATTTATATAATCATGCTTTCTGCGCAAATAAGTCCTAGCCTTACCTGCATAACATCTAACCTTGCATTTCATGCAAATAACAAATAGGTATTTAGGCAAGCAGTTAAATAACTTTATAATTTCTTGCTAACCTAACAATATCTTAATGCTTTAAACTATTCTACTCAACCTTAAAATCTCAACCTCTTTCTACTTTTTTGTTTACTCCTATTATGCTACCCTTGCATCAAATAACTGCTTTGACTAGTCATTAGTCTTTAACCCTAGTCTGTTACAATCTTGCTCTAACCTATCCTAACCCTAACGCTTACAATTCTAACATAGCTTTACCTTTTTGCACTTGCTGCTTAGGAAACTAAAAGTTTTATAGCTAGATTCTTCTCAATTTGCTAATTAAAAGCATACTACTTTTGTTTATTTTGGCCAAGAAAAAGTCTTTGGCAGCTACTTTCCTTTTCTTTACAGCAGCTACCTCCTGTCTTCAATTGTAAGTCTGCAATTTGTATAGCGTTTTCTTTAGATAGCTACTACATAGCTTAGCTGTATTTAAAGGTAGCAACACTAACTACAAATACTACACTAACAACTTGCTTACCTTGCATAGCAAGTACTAGTGTATAACCTTGACTTTGCCTATACTGCAGTAATTTTTATAATATGACATTACAAAACTTGCCATGCCTTAGTCTATCAATATGTTGCATACCTTGCTATACACTATGTTGCAATGCTATATCTTTATAATCTCCTACAACTATGCTAGCATTTCCCCTAACATGTGCATCAATTGCAATAACCTTTCCTAAAACCACTCTACTGCTAACCTATACTTGCACACTGCTTTAGCCTAGTATAGCATCTTGTTGCTGCCTCTTGCTGCCATCTACTCTTTCTACTTGTCTGCTTACTGCAAAATCTGCCGCACTATCTAACCCTAACCCTTTGCCAACCACTTGTTGCAATTGTCTTGCAAAAATAAATATCTAACCTAGTCTTTGCTATGGTTATCCTCTATCTACCCTCACTTAATTGCTAGCACTAACCTAAAATCATTGCCTTTTATTATCAATAGCTTGCCTAATTTAGCCCTTACCTTCCTAACTATCTTATGCAACATATTTGCCAAATTGTTTGTCTTAATCTTCATTTGCTAATATATAATCTAATCTCTAACCTAATCAACTATTTCTGCTGCTAGCGTTGTAAACTAGACCTGCATCTTATACATGCGCAAATCAAATATCTAATCTATTAGGCTTGGCTTAGACTTGTCTAACATAACTGTCATAAACTGCTTAACCTTTAGCTAGGTAATTTTGAATAACCTAGTTGCTGCCTCTTACATCTCTTTTGCACTTATTGTCTTCTCTAATGCTACTACCTTATCTTGCTACTTAACCACTAACTAATATATAACTAACATCTACGCTACCTTAATAACTGCCAAATACTTTGACATGTAATCCTTTAGCCTATACCAACTATTGTCATTGCATAATCTTAACACTGCCAAATTGCTAATCAATGCATTCTTATATAGCATATGCTTATATTGATAGTTAAAAAATGCAACTATTGCATCTAAACATAACTAGTTTGCCTAGTCCTTATGCCTCTGCCGCTTTACCTTATCTAACAGCATTATGCCCTTTACTTGCATATACTCTTCTACTGCCTTGCAAAACTTGTCAAACAAATTACCTTACTTTTTAGTAAATGCGTATAGCAGCTAGTTTCTATTATCCTATTCCTATATCTACTGCATATAACATAACAATTTGCAGTATACTTTTTTATAATCTGCCTACATATCCTCTTCTATCTGCCTATCAAATAGCTTTTTTTGCTTGACATGTATTTTCTTTTTGTTAATCTTAAACAATATTGCATGCTTGTGCTGCTTTACTACTGCCTCTTTTGCTTGCTTTATCACCTGCTTTATGCTTTCTTATATCTGCTGCAATACTACCTTGTCTTTGCCAATTAGCTTAACTATGCTGCGCAACTAGGCTAGGTCTAAACCTTTCAAATGCATTGGCTAACTAACACAGTCTAACTACTTATTTGGCTTAGCTTTCTTATCGCCTGCCTTAATCAACTGCCTCTTTAACTTAAACTGCGCTGTCTAGGTTGCATAGATTTGTGTTAGCTGCTTTTCTAATGTTTCTACACCTACCTTTGCTATCACTGCTAGCTTGCTGCCCTAGCTAACCTTAAACCAACTGCTTTTAAAGCCTAACTAGAAAAATTGCTAACAATGCATGCCTATTGTCTATAGCATAACCTGCTTTTGCTTTGCTCTTTTTACTACATTACTGCCTTTACTTTAATTATTTGCCTATCTGTAATTATTTTGGCAATGTTGCTGCATTTCTTTTACCTCTGTGCTGACAAAGTTGCATTGGTTGCATCTTAAACTAACAACTAGTAGCTTAATAAACAAGATAGGTAGGATAGTAAGTGGCAGGAACTTAAACTCTTTTAACTTATCCTAGGTTTTTGTAATGTCTAGGATTTGGCTTATCAATTCTGCAATCCTTAACTGTTTGCTAGGCTTGATAGACTTATGCTTTGCTTGCAAATGACTAATGACTTTGCTTGCTATACATTTGATTCTACACTTGCATATTAGAAATAGGTATTTAGGCAAACAAATAAATAGCTTTATAGTAGTTTAAATGCATGTCTTGGCTAACTACTAAATAGTTACAACTATAGCTTTACACTACTATTTGCCTCTATTTACCCTAGACAATAGGCTAATGCATTGTTAGCTTTTGTAACGCTATACTAGCTTAGGTGATGCTAATAAACAAAACCTATAGCTTTTCCTACCTATAAGCATTTTACTAACTTGAAAATGGCACTAAAGATTTCGCTTGCATTTAAGCTTTATGCGTATACCAATTTTGTCAATTTTACCGCTGAAAATGTCTACAAGCTTTGCCTTCTGTTTCTCTACAAGCTTTGCCTTTTGTCTTTACTAGCGCTATTTCAAATTACATGACATTTTCTTCAAGCATAGCCTATGCTTGTCGCTATATTTAGAAGTAGGCTTAGCTTAGTCTTGTCTAACACAACTGTTATAAACTACTTAACCTTTAGCTAGGTGATTTTGAATAACCTAGTTGCTACCTTTTACACCTTCTTTACACTTATTATCTTCTCTAACACTATCACTTTATCCTACTACTTAACTACTAACTAATACATAACTAACATCTATACTATCTTAATAACTGCCAAATACTTTAGCATATAATCTTCTAGCCTATACTAACCATTATCATTGCATAATCCTAACACTACTAAACTGCTAATTAACACACTTTTATATAGCATGTCTTTGTATTAATAGTTAAAAAATGCAACTATTGCATTTAAACATAACTAGTCTACCTAGTTTACCTAATCTTTACACCTCTACTACTTTACCTTATCTAACAGCATTATACCCTCTACCTATACATACTTCTCTACTACCTTGCAAAACTTGTCAAATAAATTACCTTACTTTTTGATAAATACATATAGCAGCTAGTCTTTATCATCCTATTCTTATATCTACTGCATATAATATAACAACTTGCAATATACTTTTTTATAATCTATCTACATATTCTCCTTTATTAACCTGTCAAACAGCTTTTTCTACTTGACATATATTTCCTTTTTGTTAATCTTAAATAACATTGCATGCCTATACTGCTTTACTACTACCTTTCTTGCCTACTCTATCACCTACTCTATGCTTTCTTATATCTACTGCAATATTACTTTATCTTTGCCAATTAGCTTAACTATACTATGCAACTAGGCTAAGTCTAAACCTTTCAAATGCATTAGCCAACTAATATAGTCTAACTACTTGTTTAGCTTAGCTTTTTTATTGCTTGCCTTAATCAACTACTTTTTTAACTTAAACTGCGCTATTTAGGTTGCATAGATTTATATTAGCCACTCTTTTAATATTTCTGCACTTACCTTTACTACTACTACTAGCTTGCTACTCTAGCTAACCTTAAACTAACTACTTCTAAAGCCTAACTAGAAAAATCGCTAACAATGCATACCTATTATCTATAGCATAACCTACTTTTGCTTTACTTTTTTCACTACATTACCACCCTTACTCTAATCATTTGCCTATCTATAATTATTCTAGCAATATTGCTATATCTTTCTTACCTCTATGCTAACAAAGTTGCATTAGTTGCATCTTAAACTAACAACTAGTAGCTTAATAAACAAGATAGGTAAGATAGTAAATAGCAAGAACTTAAACTTTTTCAACTTATCCTAGATTCTTGTAATGTCTAGGATTTAGCTTATCAATTCTGCAATCCTTAACCATTTGCTAGGCTTGATAGACTTATACTTTGCTTGCAAATAACCAATAACCTTGCCTACCATGCATCTAATTTCATACTTGCATATTAGAAACAAGTATTTAGGCAAACAAACAAATAGCTTTATAGTAGTTTAAATGCATGTCTTAGCTAACTACTAAATAGTTACAACTATAGCCTTACACTACCATTTGCCTCTATTTACCTCAAACAACAAGCCAATGCATTGTTAGCTCCTATAACACTACACTAGCTTGGGTAATGCTAACAAACAAAACCTACAGCTTTTCCTACCTACAAGCATTTTACTAACTTGAAAATAGCACCAAAGATTTCGCCTGCATTTAAGCTTTATACGCATACCGATTTTGTCAATTTTACCGCTGAAAATGTCTACAAGCTCTGCCTTCTGTTTCTCTACAAGCTCTGCCCCCTGTCTTCACTAGCGCCATTTCAAATTACATGACGTTTTCTACAAGCACAGCCTGTGCTCGTCGCCGTATTTGGGGGTAGACTGGTAGTCCTCCACCGTAGACTCTGGTTCCTCATCCGCCTGCTACTTCGTGGTGGCTGCTTGACACCCAAGAGACTCGCGTTTCGGGCATGACCACGGGCTTGATCGCAACCCCGGCGGTGGGTATGACGGCGAGGCTGGTTGCGGGTTGGACCGCTGGCTTGACCGCAGCCTCAGTTGACAGCGAGGCATCTTAGGGAAGCCATCCGCCGCATCGGCAGCATCTTTGTAATGATGCGGTAGCCACGCCACACAGCCTACACCAACATGACTTGGGCTTAACCACAGGCCCGATCCCTGCTTGGTCTGGAAACCTGGCCATGGCCTCAGCTGGTCCCGAGGTACCAGACACATGACTGTCTGGAACGGCGATGGGCTTAGAAAGTCTCCAGGGTGCGCCGCATACAAGACGCCGTCACTGCCAAAGGAAGCGGCTCAACAGAATGACGGGGTTCAAGGGCTCCTTGACCATGCAGCAGAAAGGTACCCGTCAGGCCAGGCTCTGGCGAAGGGGGGGGGAACGTGGCTGTAAAGGGCAATAAAAGCGAGCATCATGGGAGGAATGACGCCACTACCACGAAGCGCAGGATGGGCGCGTATATACACGAGGAGGACGAGCTTTATACTGCCATGACAGTGTATGGCGCCAGCGGTGATCCACGGGAAGGGACAAGCACAATTGCAAGGTGATCATTTCATCCGGCCACGGCGGTATGCCATGGTCAATTGTCACCCTTTTACACGAATGCTTCTCATCTACCGCTTTATTCTGGCATTTGCTGAGAAGAGTCTTTTATTGTAAGATGCCACCACGCTCCTCGCGCTTCGTTCCGGTTGCTTCTGAGCAAAGCGCCGACTGCTCACCATCTATCTCATTGCCCATATTGTCTAGTACCACATCAACCAGAGCCACCAATGTACTAGGGTCTCCCCTGTCCTTCTGTGCCTCGACCCATTGCTTCTGACTAGGCGGAAGCTCCAGCTTGTGCCAGCGTTGCTGGGCCGTATACTGCTGCATGACATCGTAGAAGAGATCTGGGTGTTCCTTGGCCCAGCTTCTGTCGACGGTGCTTGGTTTCTTCTTGTACTGTAGTTTCCGTAGTACTACCTCTCCCATGTACCTGTTCCAACCTGCGTCGTCCATACCTTCCCGCATTTGCTCCATTGTCTTGGATTTCTGCGGCGTTTGAACAGGTGGCTTATGCTTAAATGGCAGTTTCCAAAGGAAGTCTCGAGTGCGAGTATCTACGTCGCGTGGGACCCTAAATGTCACGTTAGTTAACATGCATAACCAGAAACGGAGACGGAAGACTTACAGCTTTTCGCCATTCCATTTAAACGCTATGATTGGTACGTCCTCTACTTTGGTATTTGGAAGGACAGTGCCGCATTCGAGGAGGAATCTGACTTTCTTCCCATCGATCTCCTTAAACCCTAGACTTGTGATATGCTCTTTCTCCCAGTCCATGTCTCGCTGGAAGTGGTATCTGCAGATGATATTGGCCATGGTAGCCGTCCTGTCACAACGGCGGCCGGGTATTTTGTGCGAAAGGCAGCGCACGACAATACGGAGCGGAGAGTCTGGGTTCCCATCTGTAACAATAGGTTTGCCACTTGATAGTCCTTCAGAGTTGTTGTCGGAAGCATGCCGTACCGGTTCCCAGTCAGAAGACGTAGCCTGGGAGTGACTCTGTTCACTCATCGTCGCTGTCTGAATTGCCTGACTCGCTTGATGTCGGTGGCGTGAGATACTCGCACTCCTCGCACTTCGAGTCCACCTCATCCGTCGCGTGCGGCGCGTTGTCGTCGAAATTTGGACAATCGGCCTCGGCGTGGCCTTCAACCCACTCGTCGCAGTGCGCCCAACCGACTTGAGTCTCTCGTGGTGGAATGACGTGACCACAGGTGTACTGATACCACTGTTCCCGGCACATGATTGAGCTCAGTCTCACATGATTGAGCTCAGTCTGTTGGGTCGGGGTTGGCTAAGGTCTGTAGGGAAGGAAGTTGCGGGGTTGGCGCTGCTGGGAACTTCTGTCAATCAGTCAGCACGTGATATACATTAGGTGGGGCGAGTCGTGTTCCCGATTTGTGTGCTCTAACCTAATCCTGCGGCGCGACCATTTCATTGGCTGATTTGTGGCATGATGACAGTTTCCGAAGTATTTCCGTCCGGGGCGCTTTTTCTGCCTCGGAGCTCTGACTTTCCGGGAAATCGGCTCTCGTACCTACAACGCATCTTGAAGAGAACACGGCTTGTGTCCCGACATAAATCCGACATGCGCCTAATGCTCAACAACTCTCCAACATACAAACTATTGGAACGATAGGAATCAAAAGTCTTCTAGAATGAAGCATTTCGAGAGGCACTGCGGGATCAAAAGTTTGAACAATAAGACTTTATTTTCCATTCTGACCAATGTCAAGTCACACGACCCGACATGTGACGAGGCGTTCCGAAGTTCACTCCTGAATTCTGCTTTAGGTGAGGGATTTGACGGCCAGCGAGAGGCAACCGTCCCTTAAGCTCTCCCCCGGGGATCAGTTTTGTCAAATCATGGTAACTCTAATGTGCCACCACAGATGCGCATCGAGTTAGGAAAGCCTTTCCACTTTACAAGGTGCAGAACTCTTCTCCCCTAGTTCCATTTAGCAAGGAAAGCTTCGACCTCCCATATCTCGTCCTCCTTGTCGATTGCGGTGGGTTGGCTGGCTTTGCCATGGCCAATATCTCTTTAACTGCTAGAAAGTAGCTCTGTCACAACACCTTCCATATCTCAGGATCCACCAACTCTATTGGAAAGCTAGAAAGCGGCGAAGTAGCCGCAAAGCTACCCTCAGTCCATTCTCATTGGAATAAGCTGTAATCAGCATGTGTTGCGAAGACGTCTGCTAAATCGGCTTGGGCTTGAACGTCAGACAGGGTTGGACAAATATCCGGCCCGCCTTGGGGCACTGCTCCTCCAAGGGGAGTTGGAACGAATTGTTGTAGACGAGAGACAGTCCCGTATTTTATGGACAACCAACCCTCCTAAGTATCGGGGTGACGTTGAAAAGAAACGACAGTGTGCTAGGTGGGTCAAAATGCGGCAGATTGCAATCCTCTAAGAAGTAAGTAGAAGGAGAGACCATGCTTACCTAGGCTCCAAGGTTCAACGTAACCTGAATTACCAGTGGCGGTAGACTCCGACACAGTTGGGCAGGGAGAGCAGCGGTCCTCGCCATCAAGATAGTCATCACCCACCAAGATGGTCATCATCCATAAGAGATGGAAGCCTAGTATAGATGCTCGAGCAATCATCTTGCCCGATCCCAACGACTGTCTTCTTCACTGGTGCTGGATGGTGTAGACATGCTTGGCTCAAGATCCAGCGCCGACAGGTTGTGAAATCAAGGCTTGCTAAGTCCCCGAAGGGGTGGACAGAGCTTGACATCCAGTCTGGTGGAAGTTTGGTTCGCGTCTTCTTAGTAGAGCGAGGTGATCTGACCCGGTCGTCTTGACTCTCTTCAGGGCTCGATTTGCGCTTCTTTGTCGGAGTCTCCATCGCCGCCGCGGCGGTCTCGTAGCCGTCGTCTCCATCGGTCTTGATGGCAGCGGCCTTGCCGGCCGGGTTCTTGCGCTTCCTATCGCTGTTGAGCAAGATGGTCGCGGTGCCAATCACTTTGCTCATGGGCCCCACGATCGGTTGGATATTCCATCGGCTGGTTTTGTTGGCACTCTCGCAGTTTGTTCCTAGCAAGTCTTCGCCATTCAGCGCAAGCCTGGTACCAGTGGACGTTGTGCCGTTTAAGCGCCTCCGAGGCCAGAGGCTATTTCCAAGCTGCCGCATGCGTTGTGCAGAAGCCGGACATGCAAGATTATGGAGGAAGCAAGGAAGCGTGGCGGGGAAAAAAGGCGCTGGGCGGTAGGGGAGTGTCGTTGTTGCCGCCACTCTTGCCAAACCACCTCCCGCCCTTGAGGGAGATGACTGCTAGGAATGCAAGGAACGGGAGGAGGATTAGGTACCAGGCCTGGTCCTAGCCACAGTACTGGTCCTCTGACGGCATGCAGCTCCTGTTGCAGGCCGGCCAAGGAGCGTGGCGACAAGGCGGGCGCTGTCCTGCCGAGGTGCCGTGAGCCTTCCTTGAACGCCAACATCTTCTGACGCTGGTCGATGCTGTTGGCGCTGCAGGGCGAGAGCATGTAGCTAGCAGTCAAGACAGTATTAGCCTTGACCTCCTCCTTGGCCTCCTCCTTCTTGATCTTGGCAGCCTTGGGCATTGTGGACTTGGGCTTGGCGCAGCCACGCTTCATTGTCGGGGTCTCTGTTGCCAGTGGGTTACGAGGGCAATGAATGTGCCGTCTTGTTCCTCGACCTGATCGAGGAGGGCATATTCCAAGCCTGTCGACCCAGAACTCCTCGATGAAGATGCCTCTGCATGCCCAGCCTTGGCTATCTCCTGCGTTTAGCCACTCTATCCCCTTGCATTCTTGCCTTCTACGTTAGACCGGATCCTCAACAATGCGCGTGCGCCTGGCCACGGCCACCTCTCGTCGCGGAGGCTAAACCTCTGTACAAGGTCACTGCCCCTTGCATGCCGAGGAACCTGCGCTGGCTCAGGGGTAGAGCGTAGGGGCAACTCCCTCTCCCATGCGCCTCAAGCGTCCAAGCTGATGCCACGCCACATCGCTGTGTGCCAGCGCTGGAGATGCGGTGCGGCTGGGGAGTGTGGCTTGGGGTGGTTTAAGTCCGCTTGGTATCTTAATTTCCGTGCCACTCGGTTCAGAAGGGGGTGGAGGCGCCGGTGCTTTCGCCGGGGCTCCGGGGTGTATATAGATCCAGGCTCCAGCAGCCCGCGGTCATGTCTTGCTTAGCCAGGTGGGTGTCGAATTTGATCTGATGGGCCATCCAGGGCGCGGACGTTGTTGCCTTGAAGAAAGCTGAGACAGGGATGCCATGGAAGATGTTTTGGGGAGGCTGGTTGGGGTTGCCTTCCTCGCGTGGCTGTCCCAGGTCTCCCGGTCAGCTGCCTGGCGAGTTCAGGCTGTGCGGGAGGGCTGCGGGGCGAGCTACTACTGCCGAGGCGGCGTCGAGGTACGGCATAACGGCGAGTGGCCCCTGACGGCGACCCTGCCGGCTCCGCTGTCGTCGACTCGAGATGGGCCTGAGCTGGTCTTTCAACGCCAACGTGGCACTACACCTGGGGGTGCAGTCTGTGGCACTAGTCGCACCTGCCTCGAAGGACGTATCGGTTCTTTTGTAAAGAGGGATGGACGGCTATGGAAGAGTGGCCTTGATCAATGGTGACTCCTATTACGATAATGTCAAGCATTCCATCCACACCACTTCTTTCTCGGCTGTCCCTGCTGGGACCAGATCTTGTCGCCATCTTCATCCTTGTCATCATGGTCTCTGTAACCGTGAGCGGCTGGAGGCTCCGTCTATGGTTGTTTCCTTCAACGCCCTAGTTTAGATCCTCAAGCGTGTATTGGAACTTTGGTTTGTTGCTGTTTTCTTCCTGTCGCTAGACGCTAGAAGCTTGCAAACTGTCGGGCTGACTCTGCAGAGGCAAGCTTTGTTGGGAAAGACGCAGTCCCTGATAAATCCTAGGGCGGGTCTTTACGAGTGCCGCTTATCGAGGCCTTGGTTTGTGGTTGATTTCTTGGGTTGGCTGGCGTGCTGGAAGTGCTTGTCGCGTTTGGGTTGGGCTTCAGTTCCCAACCACCTTCTAGCTTGGCCAGCTCCTGCAAGTTACAGCCTGCTGCTAAGCTTCCACTTGCAAGTCTGCGTTTTGCTGCGCAGGGGGGCAAGGGGAGGCCAATGGCAGGAGATGAAGGTTGTTAGCCTTGATGGTTCTAGTGACGACGTAGAACATGGTTGACTAAGGAGATGTTGCGCTTGTTTTTGACAAACATGCTTGAGTAACTTTTGGGTTGACTAGAGAGAGGGGAAATGGAGAGAAAATCTGTGGGCTAATGTTAGGAAGAGAGACTCTCAAGCCTAGGGAGACACTGTCTCTTACCAGTTTGCTCGAAACGTGTGCCTCCACACATGCATTCGCGTAATCATGCCAGGCAGCAGAGACAAGGTGGACAAATCAGAAATCCCCACCAGCTTTCGAACTTCGGACTGTGCTAGGGGCGTTTGGGCCAACGTGTTTGGCCAAAAATCAGCAGCCACAGTGAGACATCCTTGGTCTACACTAGGAGTGCAAAGTGATTGCCGGAGAACATTAAGCGCAAGTGGTGGGCATTTTGTAAGGAGAGAATCGAAAGCCGCCCCCTTACCTAGGACGCAATGTATGGGGGCAACAGCAGTCAACACGCTGGCAACCTAGCTGTCCATCCAAGGAGCTGTAAGGAACGCCCCCATTGTCCCGCGTCTTTCGCCAACAGCATCTACAAGTCCCACAGAGAAGCTTATACCGATTCGTTTTGTCGACAAACCCCCTCTGCGGAACCAGCTCAGCGCCCCCTCTGCGACGATATGGTCAAGCGCGATGTCTTGGGAGAGGCGGGGTTGTTGCTGGGGACGTCGACGTCGAGGAGGCCAGACGGGAAGGTGGTGGGCGGCCGGTCTAGGAAGGAGTCGCGCTGTGCGTGGACCGCCTAGGGGGTCTGGAGGTCGTACGAGGCTGGTTCCAGGATGCGGGAGTGCTGCGGCAGGGGTTAGCAGGGGTTTCCCCTGGCCGGCCATGACGCGGCCAAGGGTATTAGTAACCACGGCGGCCTCGTCCACCATCGGCCTCTGCGCCTGGCTCATAAAACTAGCCGACGACTCCCCAGCCTGGTCCCCTTGCAACCGCTAGCGCTTGTCTAGGTCACATCCCGCACCCAATGTCTAGCCACCCTCCTGAGCGCGGTAGAGATGGGGGAACAAAGTGGGAGAGGAGGGGGCAGCTCTAGCCCTTCTCGGAGGCGGCAGGAAGCTGAAAAGAAAGCCTTCTGCGTGACGCGCTTGAGGATCGCAGACCCCGGTGCACCTTGGGCAGCCGGGCGTGGTTCCCATCGGCTTATTCTCCACCGTCTACTCCGCACATCGATCGTAGCGCCCATGGCTGGGTCGGCAGTATTTCAAGACTAGCGACGGCGGGGATGGTTCTGCAAGGCCGGCGTCAACAACCAGCATCTGCCCCACCCCCACCGTCCCGCAAAAGCTACAGCCTTGGTACGGCCGGCAGCTCGACGACCGCCGGCGGCTCGTCGGCCCGGACTGGGCCTAGACCCTGCTTGCCTGCGATTTCGACGCCGAGAGCTACCATACCACGTAGTGGTAGACTGTGGCGCCGCTGCAACCCCATCTTAAGCGCGCCGGTGCTGCTGTCGTCGGAGAAGAGGGCCTGCGCAAGGCGCCTGCCCGTTCCTAGGCCCGGGGGCGCCTCCGCCAGCGCCAGAGCCAGCTCGTACACCGCCTCGGCGAACGTCATGTGGCCGCTAGGGCTAGGGATGGGTTGACGTGGCTGAGGCCCTGCGGGGCGGAGGCGTTGAAAGAGGGCTGGAGGAGAAGGGGCTGCGTGGTTGGGGCTGTTGCTTCGGGATTTTTTCTCATATCCGGGCCACGTTGTGTATGTATTGTGGCATCGACGCGGTGGGACAGTGGGGGGTCTGAGGCGACGATGCTCTTCTCTTGGAAGGCAAACTTGGGTCGGCGCCGTGACGTTGGTAGGAATGCGGGGATGGGGTTGGGCTGGCCATGTGGGCAGCGCTAGGCGCATGGGTGTTGATAGGAGGGGATGGAGATTGAGATGCGATGCGATGCGAGGCAATGCAATGCGACGAGGAAGGGGGAATTGGAGATAGGTGTGGGCAAGGGGGATTGGAATAGAGGGAGATGGCGGAATATATAGCTAAAAGGCAGACGTAAGAGAGGAACTTTTTACCTTGACAGTTACCGTCTGATTGACCAGCGTACCTTGGGCTACCAGCCCCGAAAGTACTGGCCACGAAGAAGATATAACAAGACAAGCTACGTCGCAGCCTTGCTTGCGACCAAGCTGTTGGGGGGGGGGAGTCTGGTTGCAAGGGCAGCTTAGACAGACAGTTGGAGTAGACAACCTAGCCGACTTGTGTAGAGAACCAAGACTTCTCTGGCTGGCAGCCCTGCTTTTGGTGGTCGTCGGTCCCGAACTTGCCGGCGCTTAATAGCGGAACTTGACCGCTGCAATGCCAGCGAGGAACTCAATGGTGTACTCGGCGAGCAACTCCGACGCAGGCGTCGATGCCGCCGCGCGATCAGGCTCGAGGGGAGAAGTGGATGAGCAGATGGGACTTGCGGGGTTGCGCAGCGGGGACAGGCAAAGCTGGAGCATTTGGCCATGTATGATGGTGGTGATGCGCAACAGACGCTGAGACGGATGACTGGAGCATGATGGGCGGCTGAAGGCTGGTGGACATGACCTGATGGACAAAGGTTAGATGGATGAAGGCTGGATGAATCAAGCTTGGGTGAATTGAAAACAGACAAGGAATGAGACAGGAGATGGATTTGGGTTGGATCAAACAATGAATGGAATGGAAAATAAACCCAACTTAAAAGCAACCTGGCGGGACTTGCCTAGTCAATGCGGGGAGGAAGTTGCTGCTGATCAAGGCAGCTTTGGTGGAGAGGGACGGATTCGAAAATTCCCCAATTGAGCGGCGAGCAGGAATCTGTACACTGGTACAAATACTTACTGAGGAGACACGGATGACCCCGCTGCCATTTCGATGGGGATCATGGGCGGTTCGCTGAGGATACCTAACCCACAGCAATCTGATTTTGGGAAGATTTGGGTGAGGGACCCCCGCAGGGCTCCCTGACATGTTGGGAAAGTCGCGTATTGGGGAGGGTGGTAGGCACCTATGTATTTGTTAGAGGTAGTTGCAAGTACTCCACTCCTTGTGCCAACAGGCGGTGTACCCTCCCTTATCTCGCAGGATTGAAGGGCCTCGATAATTTCGCTGGTACCGGATGGATTTGAAGAGACGCGTTGCTGCGGAGGGGTGGGATTGCGGTGACTTGTTGGTCGAGATTGGTGGTGGAGATTGGCAGTACAGTACAGTACCTAGATCAGTACCTGGATAATGGAGAGTTTAGCGCCGGGAGTCTTCTAGTGTAGTAGTACTGTACAGTACCGGTATTGGTATGCACCTTGGCACCAAAACATGGAAGTTCCCGCAGAATAACCAGGGGGTGAGTTTGCTTGGCTGCCTTGGCGTAGATGTGGATCTGAGAAGTACTGATGGGAGCAACAAATGCTGCCTAGCAGCTTGGCTGTGTGCCCCCGATCTTGCCGCCTCTCCTGGCAACTTTTATTTGCCTTTGTCGAAATGAGCGTCGCTGCTAGAGTTTCGTGTTGTTCCTCGGCATGGCGTCTTGTCTGTGCGTTACAGGTGTCAGGCCCGCCTCTGCCTCGTAACCGAGAATGCAAGCTCAAGACACTCCCCTCCAAACTTGCATCGACGAATACCTACCCCACAGGCGAGGAAATCTTCAACTGCGTCCAGGTCTAGAAGAGCCCGTCCTGACTCCAGAAACCGGGCCAATAGCTGACAACAAGCGCGCCCGCTGCAACCTTGCCGTCGCCGCCTACACGTGGGATCTCAGGCCCCCGCCTCGCTGCCGAGTTTCCCGAGGAGGAACAGAGCTTCGGTTCTGGACGATCATTCGCAAGATCTTGGAGCGAGCAGGCTGGGACAACGCATGCGTGGGCATTCGAAAGAACAGCCTCAACCGCCACCGCAACAACAAGGCTGAGACCCAGCGCTGGAGCCCCCTCAATTCGCAGTTCTTCCTCAACACAAAACTCGTACCACTCTCCGGCAACATGGGGAACCTCACCACCTTTCCCGTAAGGTCCCCGCCAAGCCTGCCGCCACAAAGGCAGCACCCGCAAAGACATCCTCAATGACACACCCACACCCCCCACGACCACGCAACAGCCGCCTCAGAAGACGACAAGAAACAGGCCTAGAAGGGCAGAGAGGAAACGCCCGCTACTACCCAGAAGCGCGAGGCTGCGAATAAGAACAAGGCACAGTTGCCTACCAAGCGCCCACCCTCTATGACGAAGACGCGGCTGCTTAAGCAACCGACGAAAGTCACCGACACTGATATCGACAAGCTCGTCGACAGCGTCTTCGAAAGGCTAGAGCAGCAAGGCTTGCCTGAGGACACCTTCTACACGACAAACAACGGATACCATATCGGCCAGCACCGACTACAGCCCGAGAAGAAGTGTGGTTTCGAGGAGGACATCAACATCCGGCCGATCGTAAGCCGAAGTCAATGCCAATGCCAATGCCAATGCCAACGCTAATGCCAACCCTTATCAGTTCCGCTCGCCTAGGGCAAACAAACAGGCTTGGCCTAGGGCAGGCTATGGCTGCCAGAAGAGAATGACTCGGCCACAGTTGGCCGGTCGCAGTAGGCCGAAAGAACGACTCGGTCGCGTTCAGCCGACTTCACCAAGCTCGGGCTTCGGCCGGAACGCAAGCACTCGGAACATGCTCAGTCTGACACGCGCAGACAGACAAGGAGATGCTGGACAAGGAGCTGGCGTCAGCCTCGCCGGACCCGATGGACGTGACCATGCAGTTCGACTCGCCGCCGCATGAAGAAGAAGAAGAGGAGGAGGAGGAGGAGATGCCCAAACACCACCCCGCCGACAGGCCTGACACACCGCCGTCAGACGCCGCCGACAACCTCGCCCCGTACGCGCACCCCGGTATCCCACCACGCCACGTCTGACCCCCGTCCCGATACGCTCCTCAGCGGCGAGAATGCCGTCGCCGACGACGGGGACGGGGACGGGGACGGCAAACGGCCGCGCTAATGCTAATGCCACGGCGCTGAACGAGCCCGAAGGCCCCATCATGCCGCGCAACAACTTCTGGACCGCGAGGATTTGGACAAGGACAAGGGCTAGGGCTAAGATGATGACTATTTGGCCAATGGACAACCAGACACGGACATGTTGCGTGAGGGGCAGCAGGACAATGATCTTGAACATATGGACGAGGAGCGGACGGACGGGGAGTGGCGGGGCTGCGAGGAGGCAGACGTCGAGAAAGCAAACGTCAAGCAGGTAGCCCTCAAGCCCTACGTCGATATCAAACCCTCGGTTGAGTCGCCCAAGGTCTCTCAAGCTATCACTCCCTCTACCGCAAGCATGTCCATGTCCGTCTCCAACGTCAAGACGCCTGCCGCAAACGTGCCATCAACATGTCCAGCGTCAAGACACCTGCTCCCATCACCCTTGTTGTCCCTGTGTCTCCCGCCGCATGCCTGCTGTCGCATGCATCGTCGAATCCACTGTTGTGTCCGCTGTGATATACCTATGGTCGCCGTCACCTCCAAGTTCACTCCCATGTCCAGCTTCGCAGCCATACACATGCCCAAGCCTAGTGCCTAGACCTTGGCCTCCAACCCATCGCGCCGCCGCCTATTCAGCACCAACAAGTTGGCTTGCCAGCCTTACCACTTCCACTTCAACATGGCTGTCCTCAGGCAGTACTAGAGCTAGTCGACCAGAAGCACTCTAGTGGCAGCCCTGCGCGACTTGATCCTCGGAGACCTTGCAAGCGTGATATACAGGCCCAAGATTACGCACATCAACCTCACTATGAGCTTTGCCTGCCTTCTCTACCCGGACAAGGTCCCTAGCTTTTGCAAAGGTGTCTTTATCACCAGGAGAGCAGCTGAAGCTAGAGATCCTCAATAGATAAGGCGAGAAGGAGGCCATCTACAATGCCTGCGAACCTACCAAGTCACAATCAGAGTTACAACGTATTCCCGCGTCCCTAGAAATAGCAGATCCTCTAACATTGAGAGAGAGGCAGTTTGCTAACATCGGCTCATACATCTTCAAGCCCGAGTCCGAGTTCCCAATCCTCCGAGGCGCTGTGGGAGTGCATGCATGTCTGGAAAGCTAGTAGGCAAGGGGCATCTCAACCGATGAGGCCCTGCTGCTGAGAGGTTCCCAACCTTGACCTACTTCGGAGAGCCATCGCCAGTCGTCAGCCACCACATAACAACCATGCCTGCCCATGAGAGAGCGTACGACGACGCCGAGTGTTTGTCAAACGACATCGCTATCAACGACGTGATCTGCATGTCTCTCCTCTCCTTGAAGTCGATTGAGCCGTCCACGTTGAGGCGGCCGAGGCCGCCGGTCCAATTCCTTGGCATCCTGTATGCGCAGCTGCCTGTCAGCAACCGCGGCCCATGCGCACGTCTCTCCCGTCGCGGCCCCGGACCTCGGGAAGGCATCTGGGCTTTAAATAAGCTTGATCGACTCGACCCAAGACGGTGATGAAAAACCAGGCAGATGATATCTTCGAAGACTTGAGTCACCTCGTCCTTGCTAAGATTCTCCTTCCAGATCGAAGCCGCTGTCCTCTTGATGTAATCTTGCGGGAGAGGCGGAGTTATCGCTGGCGATGCAAGAAGCTTGGTTATCTAAGAAGCCGCTTAAGTTTTGAGTTTAGCCCGCCAAGTGAGGCATCCCGGTCGAATCATTGGGTAACTGCTCTTGCCGTGGCATTTACAGCTACTTCTTGATGTCTGGTTCCATGATCTGCTTCGATATTGCATGAGCAACCTGCTACTGCTTTTCTAATAGCAATGCCGAACGATGACAATGGAGGCTATATCTGCTACAATGGCTGTGTCAGCCAAGGCCCCAAACGCCACGCTTAAGCTGCTAAAGCCCCCCCTCCCCATCATGTATAACTCGACTTTTAACACAGATAAGAGCATCATACGCAACGTAAAATACATCCCAGCCACTAAGAAGTTATGCCAGAAGATTTTGGAATGAGAGAACCACAATTGGGGCTCCTACCAGACGCCACCTAGACCGAGACACCTGCACGGGGCGGTAACCAAGCGCGTCGAGGGTTCATGCTCAAGAACGGCAACGCGAAGTACAAGCCCAGAATCCACAGCACGCAGCTAGATTAAGATCAAGCCCTCATATACCAACAAGCTTGGGGAAATCTTCGACTGTGTCGTGGTCAGCGGGATCTTCAGGGAGCCGTATGTGCTGTATCAGGTATTGTACAGGGACACAAGACTACAAGCCTACACGATAAGCTTCTGGAAAAAAGCTAAACGACTGCACTTCAATAGGTATACACATGTTGAAGCTGCCTCGAATCCACTAACGCGGTTAGGCGACAGTCATACCGCAGCAGCAGATCTGCAACCGTCTCGCAGCATTGGAAGGCAAGGCACTAGCCATGTTTTAACCACGGTTAGAATAGATGATGTCGAAGGACTGGAAGCAAAGCCACAGGTTGGTTGGGCCTGTGGTGCCTTGTAGATCCTTGAGAACGGCCGTTTCGAGGCAGCTACGCAGTAGCGTCTTAACAACAGCGGGGTCCTAGGCCATCATCTCCCCATCAGGGGCGGCGGTGTCCATGTACTGTCATTATGTAGAGACACCTCGCTCTTTGCGCAATCACCTATAGCCGAGTTGGATGGAATCAGAGGGGGAAACGTGGGGTCTCCAATTGTGGGTGACACTGGCTGACGAGGTAAAATCGAGTCCCTCGCTGCCTGCTTGCGCTGAGGCCAGCAGACGGGGTCTGCATAGCTTGAAGCTTTCGGCATGTTCAGTCTGTTCGTGTTTTGGGGTAGGTCAAGCAGGGGAACGGAAGCGGAGGGTCTTTGTTTTGACTGTTTCTTTGGCTAGAGTGAGAACTTGATGTGCAGCCAAGCTCGGAATGCTGAACGATGGGACAGGGAGAGGTTGGGGCATATGGAAGGTTGCAATTGCGGTATGGTATGCATGCTGGGCAACATCTGTGACTGTTAGGGCTGGATCTGCCAACCGCCAGCTATGATTTGTTGTTGCAGCGTCTGTCTCTTGATCCCGTAGTGTTTGACAAGGAGGTGAACGGCGACAAATCTGGCCACTTCACCCTGTACGGCTCCTCTCTCGGAATCAAGGTGCTTAACAGAGAGGATGCAACTGACTACAAGGGAGACTTTGGTGTCCCGGACAAGGACCCCGGAATGGCGGAGTGCCCTGAGCAACAAGTTGCAGAATGTGGATAGACAAGAGCCTTCCTATCCTGCAGGAACCAGCCGCCTTCAGGTAGTCCCAATGGTCGCAATCACAATTAGACCTTCAAGATCCGCTAGACGCTGGTTAACCTGGTAAAGAGCGCCAAGGGCGACTTGGGACGTGAGTCTGTCGAAAGAAAATGGTGTTGGGCAGTTTGTGCTGGGCAACTCGTGCCTGGGGTCTGTGCGCCATAGGTGCCTCGGGCCGCCGGAAATTTTGACAGTTGCCGCCAAAGTGGTGAGATCTTGCCGCAGCCCGGCGATTGAATTGACTGTTGGGCGATTGAAATGAAAGTCAGGCGATTGAATTGAACGTAACGAGTAAGTTGAGTGGTGGTTGAAGGTACGGGTTTTTTTTTAAAAAAAAAAAATTCTGCCGGCAGACAGTTGGGAGCTCCGATTTCCGCGCTATCGTGAAATCCATGCCTGCATGAATCAATTTGTGGGTGGTCCCCCAAAAAGCGGGGCCGGACAATCCCAGTACCAGGTTGCGCACATGCAATCCCGCTCTACACACAGAGCTGGGCCAACGACGACAGAAGTCGCCCCACGCGAGTGGCAGGGTATTAAAAATACCGTCAATCAATTCTCCTCGATCGAGCGACACAGAATTTCCAATTTTACCTCATCCAAGGGATCTGTTGTGCTGTGAATAATGGTGATTTCTTCTTGTGTGTCCGGTTTGTCTTGGTCGGACCAGCATGCTAGTCACCTTTCTACGAAAGTCTCCAAAACGTGGGAAATGCGAAATGTGAAATGCTTGATCAATGGCCTTCAATTAAGCGACACGGAATTTCTACTTTCTGCGGCCATAGGTGTGTTGTTGTGCTTGGAATAATTGTGTTTATCATTTTCGTCGACTTGGTGGTGGTGGTTGCGATGGACTGGCAACCTAGAATGCCATTCCATTTTTGCAGACTGGTGGCGGCGGTAGTTGCCCTGGACTGGCAACCTAGCGCCCTAACCAGCGTCTTGCGTAGCGCAAACCAGGCCGGCTTATGTGCACCTTTCAGCGTCTACCACCCCCAACCGCGCTGATAATGGGTTAACACCAAACCTGGGAAAACAACCAAGAAAATGGGATGAATCAATTGCCCTCGATTGAGCGACATAGAATTTCAATGCTCATCATCCCAACAGTTCTATGCCATGAATATTTGTGTGTTCTTTTCTATCTTGTCTGCGTGGGAGGCCGAGAAGCGGGGGAGAAGCGGGGTTATTAAAAAAGCACGGACCCCAACGAGGAGGTTGGAGGTAGGATTGGTTTCGGGGCACCTGTCGACCCATTGTTTTAGGGGCCATGTGCTATATTTATAGCGGTCGACTGGCATAATCGAGGCGGGGAGTTGGAAACCTAGCCACGCCTTGTATCCAAATAAAAAGTCTACAAATCAATCGCTTACAACTGAGCGACACCGATTCTCCCATCTCTGCATTGGTCAACGTTGGTGCTATCGTGCAATTTGCCGTCTTTCTAGATTGCATGTTTTGCCATTGCTTGCCCTAGCGGGACGACTGTTCAGCCTCCAAGATTGGATTTAAGCTTTCCGTCCCGCAGGTACGTACTATTGTGGCGAGCCAATAAAATCGTCCTCAGATTCCGGATCGGGCAGAATCCATTGGCTGAGAATCCCTGCCACTGTTCGTACCTAGGTACCCAAACCTCCGTCAACTTAAAACTCACTTCCATCCTCTTCTGCTTCAACACACTTTTTCACGAGATTCAACCCGACTTGCCCATTCTACTCTTCATCGCGATACAATCAATCACGCTGCGCATACATTATTTGACCGTTTCCGATGCCTAAGCTACCTCCCGGCCATTTCTGGCCTACCCCTCCGAACTCGGAGCCCTCGATCTCCCGTCCATCAAGCCGCTCGCAACGCTCGGAGCAAACCGCGTCGGGGAGCAGCACGCGCGGTCAGTTTGGAATCTCGAATGTCAAATACCGCGTCGGCGCACCCCCGCTCCGGCCGCTGCCGCTGGAGACAGGCTTTACCGAGGACTGTGCAGTCATCCAGCAATACTTTGACAATGACTTTGTCAAGAGGGCCGAAATCATCCTCGACAAGGCCCAGATCGCCGACGCCGAGGTCGATTTCGTGGCCCGGCATGTTCCGCAGGAGTTGTGGACAGCCCAGCCAACCATTTTCATCGTGGCGCCGTGGGGGGAGGATTCGCGAGACAAGTGGGAAGCGGTGATCAAGGAGCTCAAGGGCTACGTGGACAGGAAACTGGACGACATTGGTTGGAGAGGTGTCGACATCGGCGTCGAGATGGTCGCTCCGCAGTTGACTATGTGGAAGTACATGGCCCCAATCGTCAACCCGGTTCTCGAGTCGGACTGGCCAACCATCCAGGCCAGCATATACGAGATTCTCGAGTCTTTCGCTGCGACCAAGTCACATATGACAACCATCTCCCTTCTCCGGCTCGGCTACTCCCCCATCCGCCATCAGAATCCGGAGACAGTCTATGTCTCAGTGGACTACGAGTCAAGGGAAGTAACCTGGCCGCCTGTTGTGCAGCGCATTGAAGCATACCTTGCGACGCTGAACCACCACCTCTGCCTGCACTTGGAAAACAACATCGTCCAGAACCTACCCTTCCAGCCGCTCGAGCCCACAGAGGGCGCTGTGCCGGCAAAGGACACTGGCTTGGACAGAGATTACCAGCGCCAAGTCAATCTTGGTGATGACATTGGCATGGCTCTCTATGTCATCAGGAAGGATGGGAAGAGGTGCAACGGTGGATGCGGCACGCTGGGCTGCTACCTCGAGATCAAGACGAAGAGCGATCAAGGTAGCTGGAAGAAGGTAGCTCTCACCAACTACCATGTTGTTCGATCAGCCATCCCGGGCTTCTCCCTCAAGCCAAAAAACACGGTGCAGGCCCTGCCCGGCACCTCGGCGGTGATCGACCAAGCAGTGGCGATCACGGCTATAGATGTTCCAATCATCTCCTCGGAGCTGTCCGAGTCGGACAAACGAGGCTTCTTCCTCAGTACCGCGACAAACTTCACACCTGTCGAGAGCCCAAGCCGTCGGAACCACAATTTCAACATCCACCAGCTACAGAAGCGCATTGACGTCCTTACCAAGAACGCAGATGCACGCGGACTGCAAGCTGTTGCAGCAGCGACCGCGCCGTTGACGCAGAACCTCGCCTCGAAGGTCTCCTTCTTCAACTCGGGCCGCCAGCACCTCGGCACGCTGTTTGCCGGCTCTGGGTTCACTCGCCGCACGAGCGAGAACCACCGGCTGGACTGGGCGCTCATCGACGTCGTGCCGGGCCGCCAGGGAGACAACATGCTCCCGGTTGAGGCGAAGTGGGTCGCCGAGTACAGCGACATGACGCACTGTCCGCTGCCCACCGGATGCGGCATTCCGCTGCGACCGAAGCAACAGGGCAGGTCTCTGAAGGACGTCACTCCCGGAGAGATTCTGTTCAAGGTTGGGATGAAGACGGGGGTGTCGGCTGGTTATTTCAGCCATGTCAAGTCGAATTGCTGGCTTGAAGATGACAAGCATATGGGCATGCCGCGGTCGAGCGAGTACCTCTTCCTTGGCCACGAAGGGAAGCCGTTTGGAGATCATGGAGACTCTGGGTCGGTTGTGTATGATGCTGAGGGGCAGGTGTTGGGGCTTCTGTTTACTGGATTGTCGCCTCAGCAGACCAACGCGGGCCATACCTTTGTCACACCTATCGAGGACGTTTTTGAGGACGTGATCAAGTTTTCAAAGGGGGGGATAACGGATATACGTATTGCGGTTTAGGGGGAGCTGGCGGAGGACTTGGCTGAGGACTGGTTGCTTTCGTCTGGCGGGAACCGCTGCCTGGCAGCATTTGGAGCAGGCCTGGCTGCACTTTAAGGGGAGCCTGTTTGAGGCAGGTGAACAAACCAACCCTAGAAGCATGTATCTTTATTCTTGGCAGTATACAGTCAAATACGACTGCTTCAGGTCCTTACGCTTCACTTACCACCGCCAAGTATACAAAGTAAAACGCCACTGGTGTTGACTGGAAGATGCGTGAGCAGAAACGTCGATTTGTTGTAGCCCGTTCGAAATTTCAGCCGAGGGATCGGTTTGCATACCACGAGCACCGAGAACCACTATTGCATTTCGCTTTATTACGGCGATACGCATCGCAGGCGCCTCTCCTTGGAGGGTCTGGGGCCACTACTGATATCTTCAGATACATGTCCGGCGGGGTGATGGTCGACACGCTCTAGCCAACAGTCGGGATCGTCTTCAGCTTGGGCTCCGGGTTGTCGATGAGGAAGATAGCCTTGATCGACAAACGATTGACAACCAACTTCCTATTCACCCTCTCAACAGCCCTACTCAAAGCCACCATCCCGTCCAAGAGAGCATCAAGCGCCTCCCCAAACATGCGACGTGCCTTATTGACAGCAATAGCAGCCAACTCCAGCGCCCTCCGAGCACCACTGCCGCCGGGGTCGACACATCCTCCCGGCCTGGCACGGGGAGGGCCATGTATGTACATACCATGCACCTCGACAGCCCTGCGACACATGTCTTGCATCTCTCCCGCATCTCCGCCGCGACGTCGCAGGCAACACCCGTGGACACGCGCAAGGCGCGACGCTGTTCGCCGCGGCGCGTCTAACAGGCGGTGGGCCTCTGCGGTCCGGAACAGCGGCATGGCGGGGGGATCCGGGCGTGCTTGGCTGCGAGGTTGGACTCGGCGCGGACGCGGAGGTGCGAGGCTGCAACGAGGGGGGAGCCGTGGGTCACGAGGTGGATGCTGGTGACGTAGAGGGCGGCCATCTCGGCGCTGTTGTTGATGGTGTGGACGGTGATGGGGTTGTGCTTTATCTTGACGAGATACTTGTCGCGGACCTTGTCAGGCAAGTGTTTTGCCTTGCAGAAATGTTCTAGCTCCAACGGGTTGACAATGGCGAGGGTGTTGGGCTTAAACAGCAAGGCGATGCGCATCATGGCCAAGTCGTTGACCCAGTTCCCAGGCGCGAGCAATCCGAGGTCGAGCTGAACGGTGGTCTCCTCCCCCTTAGGTGTGGACGACGAGCGTTGGGGGTTAGGGGTGGGTGCCGCGGGCCTGGACTCAAAGTGGACGACGTTCCGGCCATGGTAGGCTGCCTCAGGGAATAGAATCCTCACAAGGTTGTTGTTATTTCCAACAGCCTCTGACGCCACAGGAGATATAGGGCTGTGGCAGCGGCGCTGTTTGTTGGCCGTCATCAAAGAAGTGGTAGCCATCTTAAGACGCTTATTGGGCGGGGAATCGCCGCCGGAACGCTTGGATGAAGCATCAGACCCAATAGTTGTCGTATGGATTGACCGTGGAGATTTTGGTGTTGACTGTGTTGGCTGACGACGGCCTGGCCTTGCCTTGGTCACCTTGTCCAACTTTCGCTTCAATTCTCGGCTCCTTCCTGGTTAAGCCGGGGGGGCCTAACATGGTAGAGATATTGTTAGCCGGTAGGCGACAAGGAGTAGGAGAAAGGAGAAGTTGAGGCAACCGGGACGGTGGAAGGGAAATGCAGAGGAACAGCGAGGGAAGGGGGTAGCCAGGAATTCCTACCTCTTTATCTCAATGCTAGGGAATGTGGCGTGTGTAACGCAGCGCACGACATACACATAGAGACACGCGCATGGAGAGGAGCGGCCTAGAACAAGCCATGGATCTGCCACGTCTTGATTTGAGAGAGAGGGCAAAGCTAACGGTTCGCCGTGCAGAACAGCCTCGATTGCGACACCGACATCGCTTCCAATACCGCGGACAAGCCGTTCGGCAGCCACGTTGAGCGGGACACGCCCGAGACAAGACTGTGCTTGGAGAAGCCGGCGAGGTTGGTGCGCCAGAGCTAGCTTCATCGGCGGTCTTCCAATGCAACTCTTTTAGAATCTAGCTGCACGCGCAGCAAAACCCAATTTTCTACCCTGCGTGGTTCACGGAATGTTCTTCTGGTCACGAGAACCTCAAACACGGACATAGAGGACCTCACGATGTCCAAGCTCTGGAGTCCAATCGGGACAACGCCACTGTCTGTACCTGTGAAGGCTTGTCTTCCTTCTGGCCAGCGGCATTGCGGCTGGACTACTTCCCCCACCGCCCGCCGTATGTCGATTGGCGCGCTCATGCGACGGAGCTCCTTACTGGGCCGGGAAGGACGAGTCGCATTTTGTTGACCTTGTTTATTTTGGAGAATCTAAAGAGAGTTCCTTTTGCTTGGAAGGTATGCTTTCCTGCTTCTATCTGGGTATATGATCTGTTGTACTCATGGGGTATCGAGTCTGGAATATCCAACGACCCTTACGTCAACATAATCGTATTCGGCTCTCTACCCTCGCTCCAATAATTAGAACCAAATTCCGCGTCGGAAAGACGTAAGAACCCGATACGACGATAATCGCCAGTCGGCTGTCCGCTGGGACGACGGTGTGGCACGACGATGAGGCACGGATACTGTGAGACAAAGTTATCCCTGCCCATCACCACCACATGGAGCTCAAGGGTCTGCAGTGTATCGAGACCAATCATATAGTGCACACTTCCCCAATGTAGATGCTCATCGGCGCCAATGACAAACCCAAAAAGCCCGGCTCTCTCCCGCAGCCCGTCAGGATCCGTTGCGATATCCCTCACGGGACGTATGCGCAGAACCGGCGCCTGGATCACAACCCTCCCCTCGTCTACCTCGCCATACGGGTTCGACCCGGACACGCGAACGCTGCACGAGATGATCCGTGCGATGCGCGTGAACTGGACCCCGTCGGTGTGGCGGTAACGCTCGAACGCGCGTTGGCTGCCGTTGACGGCGGCCCAAGACCAGGACGGGGCGCGGTGTTCGGCAGGCGGCCAGGGAGCATCGTTCGTCCCCGTCCAGAGAAGGTCGCCGAAGAGCGTGCTCTCCCACAGCCCGGCGAGGTACCTGTCGCCCAGGGCGCGCTCGAATCTCGCTGCGAGGCCCGACATGGCCGGGAGCCTGTCGGTGCCCTTGGTCAGCGCCCGGAGGCTGTAGTCCTGCACGAGGAGGTCCCAGAGCTCGCGCATCGAGCCGGCCCTGACCCGTGAGACTGCGTTGGTCGGGTCGTCTATGTCGAGGAAGCGTCCCCGCATGCCTGCCCCGCTCTCGCTCAGAAACTCCGTCTTGCACTCGAAATGCATCTGATGGCGCGCGTAGAACAGGGTGCGCCGGCTCACCACCCGCTCCTGGAAACACCACCCGCGGTTGCTGATGGGCTCTCCCCTCATAGAGACTACCTCCTCAAAATCAATCCCAGTGTCCAAGGGCTGCGGGAAGATTGTGAGTTTGCCTCTTGCGAGGATCCCTGCCGCGTAGTCGAATGTGGCGTGGTTAGGGACTGGTCTGCGAATAAAGCATCCGTCCGAGTTATCGGTGGAGCCGGCGGCTGATATGGTCAAATATGAGTTCGCGTATACCGACTCCATTTGCGCCGCTTCCCGCTCCCAATCTTGGACGTCGTTTTGGACGATGCATAGGGCGTCGATCCAAATGTGCCGGATTCCCATTCTCCTGGTCACGATAAAGGCGTCTTGCATGGTTTTTGGGAAGACGTCTGGTGGTATCCCCTGCTGGTGAGTAGCGTAGTTCTTGGTCGTCGTGGTTAACTGCTTGGTCTTCCCCCAGACGTAGCTGAGAGTCATGTAGTAGCCACGTGCGCCGCCCGTCTCCCACAGCTTAATGGGACTAGATGACGATTCGCCGACGTCCAGGAGTCTTGTTGGAAACGGTGAGCCGGGTGGAGGTGGCGCGCAATTATGATGGTTGTTGCAATTGTTCACCCATTCAAACGCAAGATCCTGACTCTTGGGCAGCGAAGGATCCTCTTCGATAAGCCGCCCTTTGAATATCCCGGCCAAGGGATCGGTACCTTTCCGCCACAGATTGAGCCTGGCATATATATGTCGGAGATATGTGCTTATCTGCTTGCCCTGATCCACGCCGATGCTTATCTGCTTGCCCTGATCCACGCCGAACGCAAAGATGGCTATATACCACACACGCTGGCCCGGCCCATCGTCAGTCCAAACTACGAACCCCTCTTGATCGTCCCGCCGGGTGATCTGGAGAGAATAGCGTCTAGGTTCAGCGTCTGGATAGGCCGGTCCGTTGTCTGGTCGACGCTGCCCGTGGCGGATCCTCCCTAGGAGCTCTTGCACCTGCTCATAGATTAGGGAACAGAGTGCACACGCCTGAGCCGACCCGGCGAGGGAATTAAGATCGTGGTGGTGGGGTAGCCCGAAAATATCAGGGCGTGCATAGCCCCAGATATGAGGCTCGAAAAAGTATAGTCCAGGGCCTAGAGAGATTGAGCCGATTTGCTTGAACACGTCTGGGTATGGAGGGATGAGGTGGAATGCTATGTTGCTGCAGAGACCACAGAGAGCCATCTTGCAAGTAGAAGGACAGGTGATAGTGATTAGACGAGGAATTCTCAAGTATATTGTAAATGATACGTGCTTTGCACTGAATACCTTAGGTTATGCCGGTAATTTGCTTTAGATGTTTGATGAAAGCTACATCTTTCTTGAGATCAGAGCAGCGGCCCAACCACGACAGCATCACTGTCACGAACCCAACCCAACGTGCCATTGGTCGATTTCAACACCACATCGGGAAAAGCGGGCCCAAGGGAAATGGTCTGCGGCACACAGCTGTTGAGGCTGTGCTACAACGCAGGGTGGCTTGGTAGTTGTTGCCAAGCCTTTACCCCGCGACATTCCGGATAAGAGTACAATTTATCAAGTTCTACGGATCCGTAACTACCCCTTAACTGCCTTCCCGCAAGTACTTTTCTCATCTATCATATCCTTCTCTCCTATTTCTCAACCCCTAGTGGTTCCTTACTCAGCCCTCCTCTCAGCTCTTTCTTCGCAAGCAAGTAATTTCCTTTGTTGGCGTGGGGACAAGCTGATACGGAGAGGAAGGAAGGGAGCGGAGGAAATCGATAGAAGAGCTGAGCTGAATACCCCACTCGTTCGCACGCAGTTTTCAATGATGCTACACGGCAAGCGGTGATTGTCGGCCCCACCTTCTTACCCTCCTCTATCGCGCCTTGCTTCAAGGCGCGATCGCTCTTGATACAAGAGCTTGAGAAACTCCAAAAGGGTGTTGCCCTTAGCCTTGTCCCTGCCAAGATGCTGGGGATATCGGGTGCCTATGCGAGTTGCAAGGACGAAGGCTCCTATGACGCTCGCCGCTATGGCCCTGCGGCCTGCCGACACGGCCCTCATCGGGCCCTAGGGCCCGGAGTTATCGAGGGTTACAAGCCTGTTTTTACGTCGAGCTGGCCCAGGACCCAGTGGCTCCTAGGCAGTTTGATCCGAAGGAAGATGACGATGTTGAGGTTGTGAAAGTGCGTCACCTTGGGTGCCAGCAAGGGCTTACTGCGTATGCAGGTAATTTGCAGCTAACTTGATATATTGTAGCACCGCAGGTACACAGTTGTATTTGTGGAGACGTATAAGACAGCACAGCCAGGTGGCAGTGAGTCTGGCCGCATTTGGAACAGGAGATGCCATGGCCATTCAACTGAGACTGCCTGGAAACCAATGAGAACTCTCGCAACGACTCACATCAACCCGCCTTGTAGGCCATGACGACAGATCTGTCCTTCCCTATACAAGCGTGGTCCCTAACTCAAAAGTATGTCGACAAGATAAATGCCCATCTTGTGAGACGTTTAAGGGTACAAGTTGGAGAGTGCATTGTGCATAGCCTCCCATTTATTTGCCTACAAAAACGGAGCCTTTGAACATGACACTTGAAATATGTCGAGGATGTGCTTTTGGTGTGATGTCCTGCGAATGCCGTGCTTGACGGTCGAGTCACTGTACTTGTTGGCGTAAGCAGAGGCAAAGCGCTTGTTGGAAGTGGCGTAATCAACGATGTCAAGAGAGGGTTGCTGCCTGCGCTTGGTTTGCTAAGGGAAATCTGACTGTAGTCTGGGAGAAGGAGCTGTCAGTGCCACGGCAGGTGGAGTTTGTGGTGTTGTTTGTAAAGCAAGAGCCGGTGTAGTCTTTGGAGGTGTCCCATTGGATGACGGTGGCGACGTAGAGGACTGAGAGGCGTTAGGAGTATCATCGATTAGCCTTCTCTGTTGCTAGAGGATGTGGGGCTGCAAATTTGGAGGCCTTTGAGCTGCTGGCAGGCGTGGCGTGTGTCGACGACCCTGAGGGGCTGGCGGGGACAATGGGCTACAGGACATTGACCATCCCTGATTGACTATCCCTAGCTAACCTATATGTCTATCCCTTGCTCCCAGCGTAGCGACTAGCTGGACTTGTCCTTATCTTTCCACCCTCCTCCAAGCAGCCTGTCAGGAAGCAGCGCATATCAAAATGTCTCACACACCCTCTTAAGCGCCCCAAATCCTACTTACACCCCATTTTTTCTCATAGCTCTAGGCTAGACAACCCCCAGCGTATCATTGGCTGCAAAAAGGAGGAGCATAATCTTGGATTTGCAATCTAAGCTAACAGCATTTATAACAGTCAAGCAACTAAGGATATTAATGATTATTAGTCTAAAGTATAACCCTTTATGTCAAGCTTGCAGAGACTAAAGTCCTAGAGAGCGATGTGGCCTTGGGGTGTTTAGAGAGACATTAGGAACTATGTTTTGCCTGCTTGTAATGACAACCTAGATTTAGTTCCAGCCTGCTGCTACACCTGATACGCTAGGCCCAACAATCTAAGCCTCGCTCACCTCAGGGGCGATGTCGCAGCCTGATCCAAAGCCCAGCCATCGTAAGTCGTCGCCAGGGTCGAGATACGAAAACCCGACGACAGGTCAGGCAAATGTGTCTTCACCGCGGCGCCACCCGTCAGGCTCCCCAGCCTAAAGTCCGGCTCGCCGCCAAGGCTGCCAAAGACGTCGCCGACTTAGTTGGCCAGGGAGCCGCCTACGCCCAAGGTCAAGGTCGAACTCGTAGTGCTGACTAGATAGGAAATACTAGGTAGAGAGAGAGCAGGGCGAGTTGTATCTCTTTGACTCCGTGGCTTGGCCAATTAGTTGGTCTCTCTTGCTTTGCTGCTGCCGTCAGTGCGCCCCGGGCAGCCAGACAACCAACGACAGCCGCAAGTGCAAGATGGCCAAGGACAGCATGGAGAAGAAGTCCCAGCGCCGCCCCAGCGACAGGAAAATGAGGCCGAAGAATTTGTAGCAGCTAGTAGTTAAGCTCCCCACCACCCCTTCCACAGACCTGGTCCAAGTCCTCGTAACCTTTAGGGTTGTGGCCCCAGACAGCCTTTCGAGAACCCCTCTCCCTCTCCCTCTCTCTCTCCTTCTCAAACTTGTGCATTGGAAGGAGGAATTTAGCCTTGGGGCTAAGGTAATATGTTGCAGGCAAGCCAGCCCCTTAATGGTAGGCAGGGCGTGACGGACTTGACACTTTGGCGCCACGACTGCTACAAAACACAGGGCTTTTTAAAAGGATCTTTCACCCTAAAGGGTGAAGGCTTCGAACAGGGGGTTCGGTATGGATTTCCCTGGCAGGCGTATATCTTGCAAGCTCTTGTCAGGATTTGACATGGGCATTTCAGCATTAGAGCGGCGGCCGGCGAGGCAGGGGGCGCAAGTCGAAGGGTGGAGGTGGAGGGGCGAGGGGCAGGAGTGTCGCGGCTGCTTTGGTGGCTGAATCTGGAACCTCTAAGGAAAGGCCTAAAGGCAAGTCGTCCTCGTCCTCGACTCGGCCCTCGCTCGACGTCGACAGATTGCTCCAGCCCTCCATGCCAAGCCGGCCCATGTCGTTGAACGGAGGGGAGTATCGACGCCGAGTACTCCGCCGGCGACAAGAAGGCCGCCATCAGCAGCCTTCCCCGCTACATCTAGATGCCCTCGGTAGGATCGGCTGGATCTTCTTGGATGGTACGAACACTGAGAAGGGACCAGTGTGTATGCTAGGCGAGAAAGGGAAATAGGATTTGCGCGCCTCGGAGCTTAGGCGGAAACTCGAAACTGACCGATTCTAACATGCTGCGCGCTTCCATGTCGCTCTGGGATAATCAGGCTTACGACTGCAACTGCGGCGCCGAGGCCCAGGGACGGTTCGAGGCACCCCTCGCACAGGAAGGTGTACTTGAGGTGGGTCGGTCGCGTTGGCAGACATTCTGGCAGCGGCGGCGCCAAGGAGGAGTAAAGGGGCTAAGGATTTGACTAGGATTTTGCTGGTATGGAAGGGGGTGTTTGTTTGCATCCTGTATTCTCAGTCATAGTCGCATTTTTGTCTGTGGTTATGGAACTGCGGTGACCTGGCGCTGTCTGGTCCTGTCGCGGCGGTTGGCAGCCCTCCACAGCGACGCCCTCTGGCCTGCCAATGTCGTCCCCGTGTACGGCACCGGCCTCCCGCCAGAGCCGCCTGTGCCGGCCGCCTCTGAGCGCGGGGATTACTCGTGCGCCGCCTGCCAGATGAGGCAGGCTGAAAAGGCCGAGGCGCCGAAGGGGCTTGGCTGCTGGCCTAATCTAGATGACTGCCAAGACCAGAGGGGGGTTGGCTGAGTATAGGCTGTCGGCCAAGTGGCTTGAGCGCCACCGGCGCCACCACAGTCTCCCTTGTAGTGACTTGCACCTCCTCTGTCCTCCTTTCCTTAACTGTCCAAGCCAACTGCTCTCCCACCTTCAAGGCGGAGTGGGTGGTCCTTCTTAGAAATATCTTGCACGGTAAAGGGGAAGATGTCCTAGTCAACTGTCCTGGCAGAGGCTGCGTAGTTTGGAACTGATGAAAGGCATCTCTATATAGCTTGCCGTCTAAATGCTTGTGCCAGGAGTCAACAAATGTAGCCGAGAAGAGCTCCAAGTAGTGTAGCATCAATTGGCACTTGGCTTAGGTTACGGAGAGGGAGATTCGAAGGATCGGCTGTGACGAGCGGGTTGTAGACACTGGCTGCTCCCATAGCTGGTAGAAACCAGGACGTCAGTTGCTGTGGGATTCATGCCAGTTCTCACTTAGTTGGCCTGCTTGGGAAGGTTATGTGTGGGAAATCAGTCCTTTCTTCATGTTGAAATTCCAGCGAGAATGTCTCTGACCCTCATGGTCTTATCAAACATGAATATCCCATCGCTTGTCACTCTGAATTCCCAAGAGTCAAACGTCTTTCTGCACCTTAGACCAGTGAATGCCTAGTCAGTGGCCGCGGCGGCCGTAACCTCAACGTTAATCGGCCAAACCATCCGCGCAATGCCCTTCAGAGACGTCCATCTTCGACCCTTCGGCCCAATCAGGCTCGCACCAGAAGTGAACACCAGCAAGGTGCATGGGAAACCATCGCTCATGCCTGCCCCACGCCGCGATGAACGGATTAGTGTCGCCACGGATCTGGGCAAGGTAGCGGGTGGCAAGGGTGCGGAGGCGATTGCTGTGGCCCGGGTCGTTGGCATAGCGGTCTAGCAGGCGCTGGCCGGCGTTGCCAACGAGCGGGGTCCTGGCGAGGATGCAGATGAAGTCGTAGACGTCGAAGAGCTCTAGGTTGGCGCCGGCAGCTGGGGGGCTGAGGCCGATGGCGCGGTTGGCCGGCGGGATGAGGTCTGCGAGGATGTAGCTGCTGCGGGGGAGTTCTTGGCCCACGGCGGGGCGGGCCACGGGGCGGAACTCGCCGTCTCCTCCGGCGGGGAGTTTGGTCCCGTTGGGGTCGGGGATGTCCATGCAGAATTTGACCTCTGACGTGAAGCGGCCAAAGTGGATGCGTAGCTGGACGGGGATTGTGTTTGGGAAGCGGATGACAAGGAAGCTAAGCCCCTCGTGGGGGTTTTGCGAGGAACCACGAGGAGATGACTGGATTGGCGCCATTGTTTCTTGGTTGCTGGAGAGGATGTTTGAACTTTGACTTGAATGTGGATAAATTAGAAGGTAAGAAGAAGCAAGAGCAATAAAGCATTGAATGTTGAAGGGCGGGCGACGCTAGCGGTAATATAGTGGTTGGGATATGCCCTTCACACCAAGACTGGACAAAATGATGTAACTAGATGCCTGCCTGACTTTTTCAAGGCCCATATACATCATGCTGTCAGCTCCCTGCAACCTACACCTATCACTGTTGACACCTACCTAGGGGACTTGCGTTGAGATATTAGGCATACAAGGTTGTTATGTCCCTGAGCCAATCCGCTAAGCCCTTCAAATTCTGCATGGGTCGATTAAATAAGTTGCTATGTCATGTCCTAGTGCTGCTATAAAGCTAGCATGTGTAGATGCTGTTGAGTAGCAACCTGTTGCAGCAGTATAGAAGACTGCTGATGGAAGAATCTAGGGAGAACAAGTCCTAACGATAGGGTTGGATGGATAGGATGGAATATTCTTGGCCTAGTTGATCAATTGGGTCAACCTAGTCCCAAAATCTACACACCCTAGCTATCCTTGTCTTCATCTTTGCGGGAGAAAACATCACCCTTGCAATGCAGAAGACAAGACAGTCGAGGATAACAGAATCAAACATATAGGAATGTGGCATCTATACCACAGGACAGCATAACGATGCTGGAGTGGAGAAGCACTCCTGCCAAGAGAGCAAGTACCTGCAGCCTGGTCTAGATGTCGAGAAGATTAGTCTACACTGCCTTGCCTCCTGCCTTTCACCATCCCCCCCTTAACTACAACTATAGCGCATAGAATCTCAAACCTGTCACAGTTATAGCAGCATCAAAATCTAGGTTCTAGAATTTGCCATTGATCTCTATTTGATCAACTTAGATGCCTTCTCTGTGAGGCTTTTTGGTAAAGTCTAGACAAACATGTGGCTAGTAAAGAGGGTTGACAATACATTACCAACTGACTTTTCCCTACACTCTTCTCTCCAATTCCAGGTTGCACAAAGTCTAATCTTCCAAGACAGAAATTGACTGGTTATCTAACCCTAAGGCCTACCTAAGCTGGCGGGAAGTGAATTCAGTGGGTGGACTATCCTGCCGAATGCAAATGCAAATGCACCTACGTTTCAAACCCTGCATCGACATCAGGTACAGTACCACATAGCGGGGCTTAACAACGTGGTCGCCATCTAGGCGACACCCTTATGCCGGGGTGGATGTCGTCGGCGCCGTCATCCCCTTGGCCTAATCCCGCGTGCTCTTTCGGAGCCGTTGAATGCCGCAAATCAGCCCCCTCTCTGCAACAGGATAATCCCCCCCAACGTTCCTGATCCCCAATCCCTCTGTCCGAGGCATATGTACTAGGGGAGCACCCTTCCAACCCAATCCTACCTGCATCAACCTGCGTGACATTGCAGAGATGTGCCAAATCGCAACGGCTCAATCAGCCAAGGGGCCTGTCGATGACGTCAATCGAGTAGACTTACCGCTCTCCTCTGCCCAATCGCCACATCAGATTTGACAAGGTAAGGTGCATCACAGCAAGGGCTGCCGATGCTGCTCTTAAGATGCCGTTCTCTCAGATCTTGGCGATCTGCTAGCGGACCTCCTCGCCAACGCATCCCACGCAACCCTGGCAACTCGTCGGCCCTGCAACTTAGGTGGCTGTAGGTAATCGACAGGGATTGGTAAGCGCCGGTCGGAGGAGAGACTGTCGTGGGGAAGTGTAGTCATGACGCCGGCCATCATGTTAAGCCCTAGGTTGGGGGTTGTCGGACCAGTCAAGTGATATCACAGACGACTTTTGGTTATGGCGCGATGTGCGCGATGATAAGGAGCAAACCGTGTCGTAGTTGGCTACTAGGTGTCTACTGTTATCGCTTGTGTGTTGCTTGCTGGAGTTGTTTTGAGATGATTACAAGAAGAAGGACAAAGCCGTTGGCACACAACCTGGTTTGGTTTCATCCACGTCCTCTTGAAGGCATTCTCGAGGCGGGCGAATCGCTTAACGCACTTTCTTGAACGTCTCGCTTTCATACATTCTTGCCTGTCGCTCCCATCCAAATTCCAGAGTGGCTATGCGCTGAGAGCAGTTGGCTGGGAGCCCTTATTGTCAACAATTATGGGTGGGATGAAGTATCCGCGGATACTCACGTGATAACCCGACCCAAGATCAATGTACAGTAAAAGCGGGCCTTCCTGTATAACCAAGGAAGTGCCGGAGGGGCACGGAATATGGGGTACTTGACGACTCCCTGGTGGGGATTCCTTACCTGCTTTCCCGTTGAGTACGCTTCAATATATAGCCCAGATGAGGATACGTCACTCGCATTCATTGTCGATACTCATAGCTATCATAGCATCACCGCCAAAGCCTTGAAAGCAGCCAAGCGCAACGACAGATCCGGGGTCTTGAGGTTCTTCTTGTAATACGTCAGGTCCTTGTTCCCCTGCCACGTCTTGCCCACGATGGAGGCGACCTTCCTGCCGGCGCGCTGGATGCAATTGTTCAGCTTGGGGTAGACACCTTAGTGGTTGCCTCGAATTCCAAAGCCATAATTCCGAAGTTGCCGCCGGATTAAGTTCTTGACACTTCCAACCCACTTCTGGTCCGTCGACGAAAGGAGTACAATATGAAGACACACGTTTGCTGGAATTTTTTTTTTTCTTAAAAAAAAAAAAAAGTTGGCGTACTACAAAGACTCCCTGTATGTATCATTCCTGTGGCGGGCCGGCGGGTGCGACGGCGGCTTGAATGGGTTAAAGCTGCCCCAGTTGCCCTTTAAGGACTTGGGTATCGAGAACTTGTGGTCGGCGATGGACAAGCTCGGACCCGCCGTCTCCGGCTTCGGCTACGCCGGCCACTCGGACGACGCCGGCGGCAACAGCGACGGCAAGCGCAGCTCTGATATGCAAGCCATAGGCAGTGCAGCCTGCGTAGCTGTCAGCTTCTCCACTCCTCGTTCTGGCAAGATAGAGTCAACAAGAGGCAGCAAGGTCCTTTCTGGTTTACAAAGTTCTCGGCTAGAATGGTTCCACATAACCAGTGAGTTTTACGTTTGCGTGGCGGGAGCCCAAGGGAATGGCATCTACATCAAAAAAAGCCTGCTCGCCCAGGATCCACATATGTGCAGCCTTGACCCCAGCAGCAGCAGAGGGTCACCATCGACCCCAAGGACTAATGCGGCTTCTACAACGATGAGATATACTGACCACTCTACCACTGCAGCAGATCGCCGCCGAGAACGCCGAGCGGGATAGCCGCATCCATGCTGACATCGGCAAGACGACGAGGGAGTTTGTATGCAACGTCAGGCACGCGAAGATGCTCGATGGCATCCAGTCCAAGGTCGGGGCGAATAAGAAGAGGCCAAGGACCGAGGACGGGGACAGGGCGCAGCTGGGGGATGGTGCTGCGGATGTGGCTTCGAAAGACCGGGAGAGGAAGAGGTTCTTTAAACAGATACCCCTAGTGAAGAAGCGGGATGGAGATCAACCTGAGCATGTCACGAGCGTCCTGGGCAATATCTTTGGAGTAGCCTAGGAGTGGGTAAGCTGAAGAATTGGTAGAGATAGGTAAGGAGGAAGCTGGAGAAAGAGAGAGATAAAGGTTAGTTGGGGGAATACTATCGGGGAAGGGTGAGGAGGACTTACTACTGGTTTGACTTGGTGTTATTGGCTGGCATGTTCTTTTGCAGAGAGGCTGCACTACCTTCATTAAGGAAGTTAACAGACGCGTTTGTTTTGCCGCCTTGGTTTGACAAGTTGAGTCTGCCATTGAAGTACGGCAGAAGGTTCACGTTGGCGCCATTGAACTGTCCTACGGCTAAGATGCCTAGGAGTTGTCTCTGTCCCCGATACTTGTCGAAAGGCTTGAGGAGGAACTGGCATTGGATATCCTCTTGCAATCGGCTTGCCCTCCTGCAGGCACTTCACGGTTTAGAGGGGCAGTCTAGAGACAGGAAATAGTTGGTCGAGGCGCTGTCTGCCTAACCGCTAGCCTAGAGCGCCACAGTGTATCTGTCTGTCAATGTTTACGACAGGACAGCCCCTTTTTGGTCCTTGCCATTTCCAGCTTCCTCTTCGCTCTTGTTTCTTTCCTATTTCCTTCTTCCTTCTCACCCAACATCTTATCTTGTCTTAGCGGCGGGGCTTGAGGGCGGTGTTGGTGTTGGCGTTGAGGATGTTGGCGAGCATGTCGCGGACGATTGGGCCGGGTGGACCTCGCTGTCGTAGTAGCGCGGCTGGGGCACAAAGACGATGCGGTTGGTCAGGCCCAGGATCTCCTTGTTCGGCTGCACGATTGTGACCTTGATGTTGAAGGGTGTGAGGCTAGAGGCAATCCCTTTGGCGGTGCGGTAGCTGGGGGGCCGCGCTTGGGCAGGTCGACGAGAACCAACTTGGCCGATGCCGCGTTTGGGTGGCTCAGCCTCGAGGTTCAGGATGGCAGGATTGGTACAGAGGTGAGAGCGCAGGGGTTCAACTTCCGGCCAGACGGATTGTTCAATTTGAAGTTGTAATAGAAGGCTTGAAGTTTACTTGGGGGAGTAAAATGCTGGCCACAAGGGCAACGCCCTCGACGGCAATCATCGTCTGCCGTGACTCCAGAACGTCTCCAGACCAGCGGGGAGCGCCGCTTGCATGGGATTTCCCCGTTGCTAATCGTGCTGCCGACTTTTGGGAAGCGTTTGGATCGTCCGTTTGCTTGGAGAGCTGGATCTGTGAGCAATCCCCTCCCTTTCTTCCCAGCAACCCCCACTGACAATCAATCCCTCGCAGATCGTCCTCGACACACCGACACACCTCCTCGAGCACCGGCATAACCATCGACGGCGGCCGATAGGCGCATACAATACACAAAGCGGGGAAGGGAAGGGAAGGGAAGGGAAGGGAAGGGAAGGGAAGGGAAGGGAAGGGAAGGGAAGGGAAGGGAAGGGAAGGGAAGGGGGGGGGACTACACCCGAGCCATCAAGGCAATGCCTAACCAGGGCAAACCAACCTTCTGCCCTGCCTGCTGGGGCTGCTTTACCGACGGCGGTATACGGCGGCACATCCTCTCGGCGCACCTCTGGTGCCAGCGCTGCAACATCGTGGGGCCGCACCGCAAGATCAAGGGCCACATCCCGGAGTGCCTAGCCGCATGCGCATGCGTCGCCTGCGGTGCCGCCTGGGACGCGACGGCGGGCACGCGGCACAATTTCTGGGGCGAGGGGATGGCGCACCCGGCGACGGAGATGGGGCGGTTCTGCGCGGACGGCTGCGGGGCTTGGTTGGGGGATCGAGAGGCTGCGAGGAGGCACCATGCGGGGTGCGGGGGCATCGCGGAGGAGCTGCGCACGCAGATACCGGGCCTGGCTACGGAGTTTGTGATGGTGCCCCGGAGGGTGGCGGCGACACGGTCGGATCGGGCGACCCCGAGTTCGGCTGCGAGTTCGAGGGGGGGTTTCGGTGTCGGGGTCGCAGACTAGTCTTGGGCTTCGGACTGGAGGATCCGAGGACACGCGGTGTTGGGGGGGTTTCCACGTCCCAGAGTCCCGAGCCGCAGAGTCCCGCGCCGCAAAAACCCAACGATCCGCCCCCCGACGCAGACACCGACCCACAGGGGAATATGTCCAGCGGGCGGAGCGCATGTTCGAATAGGCCAGGGCCGGCGCAGCCAGGACTGCGGCAAGCAGCTTCATGCAGAAGGGATCCCAGATGTGGCATGACCTCGACCGGTTCCGCAACTTCCTCGAGGTGTGTGTGGTCGGCCAGCCGCTCTCTGCCGACGAGTACCTCGCCAAGGTCAGGGCCGGGACCCCGCTCAACCCAGGCGAATGGATCCTCTGCCGCGCAGAGCAGGCGCGAGCCGTTCTCTCCGCCGGCCCCCTGCAGCGGGCGATGCTGGTCCCCCAGGGGGCCAGGCAGACAAGCACCAAGGACGACGTCATGGCGTGTGACGAGCAGCGCCAGCAGATCGACTTGCACGACCAGGCGGCCAAGAACCCCAACCGCGAGGTGTAGGCCCCCAAGAGCATGTCGGTGGACGAGTTCAGGAGGCTGATAGCCGAGGACGAGCCGCGGCCGCTGAATGTGCTGTCGCTGCGGGCCTTCCGTGACAACATCATCCCGCCCTGCATAGAGGACCTGCGCCATTATAAGGTGTTCGTCAACTTCCTCCCCCGAGTGCTTCCCGTGGATTCTCCAACCCTCTACTGTTCCCAGTTGGCAATACCTTATGTGGTTCAGTTGCGTTCAAATCAGAGTGACCAATCGTCGGGTCGATCTTACATCTGAAAAGTCCTTGTCCTTGTCGGCAAACAATGTTACCATGGTCTGCCTTTGGGCAAACTGGCAACCCAATCAAAGACAAGCAGGAATACCGTCTGTTTATCTAAGTTGACGCCTCCCTGAGAATCCCGGATTCATCGATAACCAGACAGGTAAAGATACCCGAAGGCTGTGTTGTTATGCAAGAAATTCCCTTCCCTGACGCAACCAAGCGTCTCATCGTTCCCATGAACATCCCGGATGACGACCTTGCTAAAGGGTTCGTTCGAATCTGAATCGTCGCGACAGGGCTGTTGACGTTGACTATGCGAGGCGTCATGTACAGTGTCGGGTCTTGTTGCCTCGGCTGATAGCATCGCCTAAGCAACTTGACTGGGAATATGACTTGGCCCTCCCATCCCCAGCTTGGGAGTGACGGCAGCCATCTAGGGTTGGCTTTACGGTCATGGATCCAGCCTAGTGTCTGGGAAATCGTGTAGTGGAAGACCCCATAGGAAACCAGCAGGGAATGCCAGTCTCTCAAGCCACGACGGTAGGCCGAGGAATGCGTTGAGAGAGTTGTTCTCGCTTGTCATGCGACGTTTGGTGTATGCCATTAGAGACTGTTCAAACGCAAAGAGACGATCTATGTTGCGCTTGGTTCTTGGTTAGTGGGGGTTGGGTTTACTTTGACTGTCCTGGACATTAAATTAGCCTTGAATTGATTCAAGAGACAGTATCTAACGTTATACCTTTTCAAAGGAAACGGGAACAGCAGGTAAAGCCTCGGAACTAGATACTTCCAGCGGGGCAGAAGTCATTTCAGCAAGCGGCGTACTCATATCGTAGGCATGCAAGACACCAAGTCCGTCGCATATGAAGTGGACCTGGTTTGGTGTAAGTTTAGTATAGGAAGCGCCTGCTCAAGGCGCCCTCCTGAAAGGTCCACACGGGTCTTCCACCGAGACGCCCGAACTTCGACCTGGATTTCCCGCGGAACCGTGAAGAGGACTTTGCCGTCAAGAGTCTCTCGCACCTGCAGCATCCGACGAAAGGCTGCCGTAACTCCAGGCGGCCCAGCGTCAGAGTCTGTTCCCGCGAGCGCTACTATAGTCACCGTCGCGCACTCGTAAATCAGATCCATCATCTGCAGTTGCCTTTCCTTCTCGGCTGCCTGTTGAGGCGTAGGGTTGGGGGACTGGTCGATGCGCAGAGCATCTACCTAAGGCGTTTGTTAATTCGCCACCAAGATAAACGGATACAACACGGTAGTGCGTACCCAGAGATATCGTATCCCCGGCCTCTTGGTGACGAGAATGGCATCCTAGATGGTCTGTGGCAAGGTTCCTGACTCCGAGCGCCAACCGCGGGCATCACGCCACCCCAGACATAGCTAGGAGCAAAGTAGTCGCACGCTTCTAGGCAGGTAACGGTTTTGCGGTCAATGACGTCTAGCATGTACGCTGATCGTAGCTTTTCTGGCTTGTCCACCTGGCAGGAACCCGAATGATTATCCAGACAAAAATCGAGGGCCCTCTTGACTGTGGAAAAGTCGATCAGCGGCTCGAAGGTCGTGCAGTATGCCTCTTGCAACTAGGAAATTCGTAAGATGTCAATGCGATTGCCTCCCTAGTCATCTCCCCCAAAAAGACGGATAAGTTGGTATTAGTATTCAAGGTATTTACCCCGAGAAAGATAGTGGTATGCGACTGCTGCTCTGAGGAAAGCGGTCCTATTCGAGGTTCCCAAATGTAGGAACGGAAGGGTACAATTTCCAACATTTCATGATCCAGGCTCAGGCCTTGTCAGGGTAGACTGCGATAGATCAACCAACATAGCAAATAGAATAGAAGAAGAATAAGTAATAATAGCTTCCCAAGCACTATCTTGTGTTAAGCTATGCTCTAGTAGTAGTCTGCGACGCTCTGCTAGCTCAGCACGCGTCTCTGGTTGCTGTCTAGCAGCTAGGCACACTCAAACATTTTGAGAACCTAGAAGTCTAAGCATTGCTGACAGCGCAAACTTGACTAAGCTTAGAGGCGCTTAATCAGAGTCTCATCTTTTGCAGACAGATGTGTGACTAGTTTCAGCAGGAAGTCAAGTTTCTGGTTGGCACCTGCATAGGCCACTTGGATATTTCTTTTGATTGGCAGGCCTGGCAAACTGATCATGTTGTGTATAGTAGCTAAGAGGCCCATATCGTCGCAGTCACTGTCTCCCAGTCTGCACTCTTTGTCAGCTTGTGCGCCAAACCTCTTCAACAGCACGCCTGCAAAGACCGACATCAATGTCTCTAACCTTGCAGCAGCCACAGTTCTAGCCACCCACAACGCTGACGACACAGACGCCATCGTTGCAAACGCCGTCTCTTACCTACGCGGCTCCCCCGGCGTCGAGAAGCTCGCTGCCACTGCTTTGGCAGCCTAAAGCGTGATCTTCTTTTGTTAAGGAGTGCATAGTACCTTACACCGCCGAGAACCCCCTTTTCTCACGATAGTAGGTAGTTTCCAATAGCTAATATGATAAATTATTGGTAATCAAAGCTTGCAACGCCATCAACAGGGCCGCGGAGGAGGCAGCCCTACCCATAATTGCAGATCTTGCATAGTGTTTGAGTATGACATCTTCTAAAGATCTCTCTTTCCTTTATCCTCATTTTTTGTCTGGGGGGGGGGGGGGGGGGGGGGGGGCCCGGGGCGGGGGGGGGGGGGCGCGGGGCGG